CTTCTTCTTCTTCTTCTTCTTCTTAGGTGTGTGTGTGTCTTTGCTTCCATGCCGCCTAATCCTCTTGCAGAGCGGCTGACATGCATTTTCTATCCATGGCTTGCTCGCGCTCACTGTCTCCTCTCCAAAGTTCCCTTTCCTCATGGCCCTTCTCACCCTCGACCACTCCATTTCCCAAAAGACCCCTCCCTTCCGCTTCAAAAGGCCACCTTCTCTCTCAAAAGGCTCCTTTTTTGTATTGCTTCCTACTCCGCACCCTCTCCACCCACCCGCTGATTTGCCCTCTACAGCTTCATCTGAATCCGCTACATGCAGTGGTGCCTTTCGCACTCCCATCCCCCCTTCCCTCCCGCCCCCCCCCCCCCCCCCCCCCCCCCCCCCCCCAGCTTCGTTTGAAAGCATGCAGTGGTGCAGTTGCGGTTGTTATGAGCATACCTAAACAGTGCAGGGGAGAAGGGTGGAGGGGGAGGGTACGGATCTGTAACGCTCCCCACTTGTTCTCTCTTTCTTCCCATCATCTGCCCCTCCTTCCCTTGCTCTTTGCCCGCAGCTCCATTTGAATCCCCTGCATGCAGTGGTGCAGCTACGGCCGTCACTGGCTTACCTAGACAGTGCAGGGGATAAGGCGGAAGGTGGAAAGGGCAAGAAGAAGGGGGCGGGGGAGATGGTGGAGGAGGAGGAGATGGGGGATGGGGAGGATGGGGAGGACAAGGCGGGACCTGTAGCTCTGGAGGTGAGAGAGAATGGGTTGAAGATGGTTGAAATGTGGTTAAGACAGTTAAAAGGGTCTGAGTAGGGGAGGTGAATAAGGGAGTGGGAGAGGTGAGAAGCGCATGTGAACAGGTGAATACGGGAGACAGTAAGTGGGTGGGTTTGTCGGTTAGTGTCTGGGGCAAGGGCAGTGGAGGTGGGGAGGAGGGGGATGAGGGGAATGATTAATCTGTCACAACGTTTTTTTGAATGTCACCCTTGTGTGCTATTGTTACGAGGTGGCTTTTGAGTCAACTCAAAAGACACCTCAAAGGGGATGAGGGGAATGATCTATGTGTCACAACGTTTTGAATGCCACCCTTGTGTGCTTGCACTGTGCATGTTTTGAGACGTCTCAGAAATTGAATGCCACCCTTGTGTGCTTGCACTGTGCATGTTTTGAGACGTCTCAGAATTTGAATGTCACCCTTGTGTGCTTGCACTGTGCCTGTTTTGAGACGTCTCAGAAATTGAATGTCACCCTTGTGTGCTTGCACTGTGCACGTCATTTCAAAGCAGGAGGAGATGGAGAAGGGCGCTTCATTCTCAAAACCACACTGCATGTATCTACACTGTTCTGACCCCCACTGTTGTGACCCCCACTGTTGTGACCCCCACTGTTGTGACCCCCACTGTTCTGACGACCCCCACTGTTCTGACCCACACTGTTTTGACCCACACTGTGCAGGTGAGCCTGAAGAAGAGGGAAACGGAGGAGCAGGAGGAGATGCGCCTGCAGTCATACGCGCACATCCATGCGCTGCGCGAGAAGGAGGTGAGTAGGTGAAAGGGTGGGGAGCTCTGTGGGAGGTAGAACAGCAGGAGGAAATGCGTCTGCAGTCATATGCGCACATCCATGCCCTGCGCGAGAAGGAGGTGAGTGGAGTCACTGCCATAGTGATGTTGTGGTACCAAAGTGGTCGGTATTCGTATCCGTACTTGCTCTTCAATCCGTATTTGTATTCGTATTCCTGTTTGTTCTTGTATTCGAATTCGTTTTCGTATTTGCATTTGGATTTGAATTCATATTTGCATTCGCATTTGTATCCGTATTCCTAATCTTCTTTGTCGCAATCGTATTCGTATTCGTGTTTGTCCTTGTATTGTACTGGTATTTGTATGTGTACTCGTATTCGTATTCGTGCTTGTCCTTGTATTGTACTGGTATTTGTATGTGTACTCGTATTCGTATTCGTGCTTGTCCTTGTATTGTACTGGTATTTGTATGTGTACTCGTATTCGTATTCGTGCTTGTCCTTGTATTGTACTGGTATTTGTATGTGTACTCGTATTCGTATTCGTGCTTGTCCTTGTATTGTACTGGTATTTGTATGTGTACTCGTATTCGTATTCGTGCTTGTCCTTGTATTGTACTGGTATTTGTATGTGTACTCGTATTCGTATTCGTGCTTGTCCTTGTATTGTACTGGTATTTGTATGTGTACTCGTATTCGTATTCGTGCTTGTCCTTGTATTGTACTGGTATTTGTATGTGTACTCGTATTCGTATTCGTGCTTGTCCTTGTATTGTACTGGTATTTGTATGTGTACTCGTATTCGTATTCGTGCTTGTCCTTGTATTGTACTGGTATTTGTATGTGTACTCGTATTCGTATTCGTGCTTGTCCTTGTATTGTACTGGTATTTGTATGTGTACTCGTATTCGTATTCGTGCTTGTCCTTGTATTGTACTGGTATTTGTATGTGTACTCGTATTCGTATTCGTGCTTGTCCTTGTATTGTACTGGTATTTGTATGTGTACTCGTATTCGTATTCGTGCTTGTCCTTGTATTGTACTGGTATTTGTATGTGTACTCGTATTCGTATTCGTGTTTGTCCTTGTATTGTACTGGTATTTGTATGTGTACTCGTATTCGTATTCGTGCTTGTCCTTGTATTGTACTGGTATTTGTATGTGTACTCGTATTCGTATTCGTGCTTGTCCTTGTATTGTACTGGTATTTGTATGTGTACTCGTATTCGTATTCGTGCTTGTCCTTGTATTGTACTGGTATTTGTGTGTGTACTCGTATTCGTATTCGTGCTTGTCCTTGTATTGTACTGGTATTTGTGTGTGTACTCGTATTCGTATTCGTGCTTGTCCTTGTATTGTACTGGTATTTGTGTGTGTACTCGTATTCGTATTCGTGTTTGTCCTTGTATTGTGCTGGTATTTGTATGTGTACTCGTATTCGTATTCGTGTTTGTCCTTGTATTGTACTGGTATTTGTATGTGTACTCGTATTCGTATTCGTGTTTGTCCTTGTATTCTACTGTTATTTGTATGTGTACTCGTATTCGTATTCGTGCTTGTATTCGTGCTGGCATCCACACTTATACATGTGAATCATAGCATGTGATGTGACTTTTGAGTCGACTCAAAAGTCAAAAGTCATCCTTTGAGTCGACTCAAAAAGTCAAAAGCCATCTTTTGAGTCGACTCAAAAAGTCAATAGTCATCTTTTGAGTCGACTCAAAAGTCAAAAGTCACCTTTTGAGTCGACTCAAAAGTCAAAAGTCACCTTTTGAGTCGACTCAAAAGTCAAGAGTCACCTTTTGAGTCGACTCAGAAGTCACCTCATGTGAATCATGGCATGTGATGTCCACACACCCCACTGCTGCTCTCACACCCCTCTGCTGCCCACACATCCCTCTGCTGAACAGTAGTCACTAACTAAAACAAATGTGACTCTTCAAACTGAGTAAACTTCGAGTAATCTTGCTCGTTATTGTATTCGTCTCCTCATCTCTTTCTCCATACCTCCCATACCTCCCATGCCTCTGCCTGCCCTTCCTCTCTCCAGCCGTGGGAGCAGCTGCAGGCCTTCTCAGCATCGAGCGAGGAGGCAGCAGCAGTCCTTCTTTACCCGCCCCACCCCTTCCCAATTCCCATCCCATGCCCCTGCCTTACCATTGTGCAGCCGTGGCAGCAGCTGCAGGCCTTCTCAGCATCGAGCGAGGAGGCAGCAGCAGTGCGGGCGCGCATGGTGGTGGGGGGAGGCGGGGCAGGGAGTGGCGCGCAGAAGCAGGGGAGGGTAAAAAAGGAGGAGGATGCGATGGAGGTGGATGGAGCAAGGGAGGGCGAAGTGGGGGAGCCAGAGGGGGAGAGGGAGAGGGTGGAAGGTGGAGGAGTGGGAGTGGAGCAAGGGGAGGGGGTGGATGTCGGTGCTGTTGCTGATGTGCCTTTCACCCTCCCTCCGTATGTTCCTCAGTGTGCCTTTCCTCACTCCTCCTGATCTGCCGTTCTCACTCCCTCAGTGTGTTTTTGTGAATGCCAGTGCTTCTTTCCTTTCTCCTCTCACACCTCGCACCCACTTCTCCCCTGCTCCCACCTTCCCTGCCTCCACTCCCGCCTCCCTGCATCCACCGCCCTCCCCGCCCCCTCCCACCACTCCCCATGTAAAGGGGGCGCCTACATCCACCCACACACTGGTCAACTCCTGCTTCTCCCACTCCAGTTTTGAGACGCCTCAAAACTTGAAGTTGAACCACCTTCCCCCCTTCTACCTCCTGCTCCATCCACACCTTCTCTCCTCCCCCACCCCCCATCACCCCCCACTGCGGCCTACATCCTAGCGCTGGTGGGCTGGGCTCATGCCTTCCCGACTCCTGATTTTTCCACCTTCCCCTCTCTCCCTGCTCTACCCACACCTCTCCCCCTCCCAGATCCCCCACCCCCCACCACCCCCAGTGCGGCATACATCCAAGCGCTCGTGGGGTCCTGCCTCTCGCACAAAGTCCTCCCCTGCCCTTCCCCCCACTTCCACATCCCCCACCCCCCACCACCCCCAGTGCGGCCTATATCCAAGCGCTCGTGGGGTCCTGCCTCTCGCACTCCTCCGCGGCTGTTGCCGAGATCAGAGGCATTTCAGGGCTTTCCAAGAGGTGAGGATCGCACGGGACTAGGGCTTGGTGGGCTGCTGGTGATGTTAGTATGAGTGTGAGTCAGTATGAGATGTGCATCTAAGGAATGTGTGACTGTGAGCTTTGTGACTGTGCGTTTTGTGACTGTGAGTTGTGTGATCATAAGTCGTGTCACTATGAGTTGTGTGACTGTAAATCTCCCCTCTAAAGAGAATCACTCCTTATCCTCACTCATATTCCACCTAGCTTTGCCTTCTAGCCTCCTCCCGTGGCGGTAAATGCACACGTCGTCTATTTGAACGCTCTGCCGCTGGAAACTCCACTCTACCCCCACCTTCCCTCCCCAGCCACCTGGACTCATTGCCACTTGAGCGTCGACTACTAGCACTCTTGTCGCGCATTAAGACGCACTTCTTCCACTTCCACCGCCTCATGAATTGCTGCTGGCCCATCCGTACCTCCCCTTTTCCACCTTCCCCATTTATCTCGACTCATTGCCTCTGGAGCGCCGATTGTTAGCCCTCCTGTCGTGCGCCAAGACACACATCTTCCACTTCCACCACCTCATGATGCTGCCTCTCTTCTCCACCCTGTCTTTTTTCCCCCCTTTCACCAGCTACCTGGACTCCTTGCCTCTGCAGCGTCGATTACTAGCCCTCCTGTCTCGCGCCAAGACGCACATCTTCCACTTCAACCGCCTGATGAAGTTTCTACCCCTTGCCCCGCCCACCCACCCCACCTCCTCTTTCCCCCCTTCCCCAGCTATCTCGACTCCTTGCCTCTGGAACGCCGGTTACTAGCCCTCCTGTCACGCGCCAAGACACACATATGCCACCTGGCCCACCCTTCCCCTTCCTCTCTTCCCCAGCTACTTGGATTCGCTGCCTCTGGAGCGCCGATTGCTAGCCCTCCTGTCGCGGGCCAAGACGCACATATTCCAGTTTGAGCGATTGATGAAGCTGCTACCAGCAGGCACACAGGAGCAGCAGGTGCTGGCACTGCTACAGCACAAGGCCCTGCTGGTGCAGGTAAGGTAGAGGGGGAGCGAGGTACAGAGGGGCTTGTTTTGTGATTGGAGGGGCAGTTCTTGTGCATGTATGGTTGTTGCCAGCAGGCTCGCAGGAGCAGCAGGTGCTGGCGCTGCTACAGCACAAGGCGCTGCTGGTGCAGGTGAGGTTGGGGGAAGGCAGGTACAGACAGGGCAAGAGGAGGGGCCGGTCGAGAAGAGATTGGTCAAGGCAATCTCTCCTCGAAGAAGGGTATGTCCCGCCCAAAGAGGGTCATTTGTCATGCGTAAAAAGCTTTTCGTCGTGCACATTACGTACGGGCTTTTTCTTACTCTCTTCTTGAGACTTTTGAGTCGACTCAAAAGTCAACATTACGTACGGGCTTTTTCTTACTCTCTTCTTGAGGAGCCTCAAAGATTTGTCATGCGTAAAAGGCTTTTCCTCATGCACTGCAGGCTTTTCTTGCAAGAGCGTAGTCTTACTGTCCTCTTCTCTTCTCCCCTTCTTCTCCTCCTCACCAGGGCTGCTGGGTTGTGCCCAGCTCTGTGCGCTGCCTCGAGGGGCCCACCTGTGTTCTGCCGCGACCCTTGCGTTTGCATCATTCCTTCCCCCCATTCCCATGCCCCCCATTGCCCACATTGTCCTCTTTTCCCCACCCCCCCCATCCACCAGGGCTGCTGGGTCGCGCCCAGCTCCATGCGCTGCCCCGTGGGGCCCACCTGTGTGCTGCCGCTGCCCTTCCCTTTGCATCACCTCTCCCCCCCCGATTCCCCATGCCCCCTTCGCCCACTGCCCCCCTCTTTCCCCCTCCCACTTGCCCCGTCTACCAGGGCTGCTGGGTCGCGCCCAGCTCCATGCGCTGCCCCGTGGGGCCCACCTGTGTGCTGCGCGACCTGCTGCTGCTGCTATTCACCAAGCACCGCGTCATTCGCCGGGAGGACGTGGCGCACCTCAAGGTGGGTGTGCGTGTGGGGCACATGTCTTTCCAATGGTTGCTGCTGCTACTGCTGCTGCTATTCACCAAGCACCGCGTCATTCGCCGGGAGGACGTTGCACATCTCAAGGTGGGTGTGGGTCACGTGTAGTTTGGGTGGGTGCTGCTGCTGCTGCTGCTGCTGCTGCTGATTGTTGGGGAGCGTTAAGTTTTGCCAAACCCACCCTGTGGGTCATCCCGGATTGTGGCAAATGGGGGATAACGCGCCACCAAACTGCGCGTGCATTGCACTTTAAATCCCTCACGTGCGTCTACACACTTGCACATATGTCCTCTCACCTGATTCCCTTTTCGTAAGGCATTCACAGGGGCCTACTGCCATTTGCTGCTACATGCGTTGCCTTGTCACTCTACCGACCTCTACCCACTTCCACCCAACTCTACCCTTCTCTAATCGTCCTCTCACAGGTACCAAAGGAGCTACTGAGAGAGTTACTCCTATCCATAGGCATTCCCAGGGGGCCCAACACAGGCTGGGAGTTTGCCGAACCAACAGACCAGGCTTTCCTCAACTCCCACCCTGCCATAGCTAAGGAGCAGCTTCGGCGCTGGATGGCTGCCGAGCCTGCGATCCTCCGAGCCTCTCGCGCGCTTTCCCTGGCCACCATGGCTGACGTGGCAGCAGCTTCGGCAGCTGCTGCTGCGGCCAAAGCTGCTGCTGCTGGGGGAGGGGCAGGTAGGGGCGGGGGAGGCAGGGCCGGGCCTGGGGGAGGCTTGGGAGCGCCCAAGGCTGGTCTGGCAGGGCGTGGGGCAGGTTTGGCAGGACGAGGGGCAGGTTTGGCGGGGCGAGGAGCTGGTTTGGGAAGAGGTTCGGGCGGTCCGAGCCTGCAGGCTGGTGCTGTGACAGGGGCAACAGGAGCTGCAGCGCTGGCAGCATCAGCATCAGGAGGAGGAGGAGCAGCAGGGGGAGGAGCAGGAGGAGGAGGCACAGTGGGAGCGGTGGGGCAGAGCCTGAGTGCTGAAACATGGGAAGCACTTCCTGGTGCTCTGAGGAAGATATTCGCTCAACACCACGTGTGCAGGTAAATGTGATGTGACCCTCTTGGTATGCCTTGCATGGCTGGGATGGGATAGGATGGCTCTTGACTCACTCCTCTTGGTAGACGCATTCTCTGCATGAGAACTAAGGTGGTCCCTCACAAGGCACCCCCACCCTTTCCCACCCCTCCCCACCGTTTCCAGTCTGCCCTTTTTGTGCCAGCAGCTACAGCGAGCAGCGGAGGAGCAGCAGAGGGCGGCAGGGGCGTCACCTCAGGCTGTGGCGGCGGCTGTAGCGGCAGCCAAGGCTGCGAAAGCTCCCGCCAATGAACTCGCGACAGCTGTCTCAGAGGTGCTTTCTGGGGTTTATGTTGCGTGCACGTTGAGGCTCGCTTGTTTATGCTCATTCATGCACTTATCGGCGTTGCATTGCATGCCTCTGTTCGGCTGTTCCTTTGAGTACGATGGACTGTCGAAACTTGAAGCGCAAAACTTTGTGGTTCACCTATTTACGACTATTCCTGCAGCTATCCCCTCCCTGGCGGATATGCACTCACTAACTTGTGTCTAACATTGTCACTGATGTTGCAGGTTGTTTTGAGAATTCTCAAAAACAACAGAGAATCCTCAAAAACAACATGCACTCACTAACTTGTGTCTAACATTGTCACTGATGTTGCAGGTTGTTTTGAGAATTCTCAAAAACAACAGAGAATCCTTAAAAACAACATGCACTCTCTGACACGCGTCTCACATTGTCACTGACTGTTACTGATTTGGCACACATCGACAGACATTGACTCACACTTCCACACAATGTCACACAATGTTACGCGCTTTTACTGACTGTGACACATTGTCACGCGCTTTTACTGACTCTGACACGTTGTCACGCGCTTTTACTGACTGTGACACAATGTCTCTCATTGTCAGCACATTGTCTCACATTGTGACCGTTTTGTCATTTGTTCTCTCACATTGTCACACATTCTCCACTCATAGTCTCACATTGTCATACATTATCCACTCATTGTCACACATTCTTCTCCCACTGTCTCACATTGTCATACGTTCTCCACTCATTGTCACACATTCTTCTCCCACTGTCTCACATTGTCACACGTTCTTCACTCACTGTCACACATTGCCACACAGCTCTCATTGTCAGACATTGACACAACTTGTCATACATGGTTACTACAGCCTCTTAGTTATCAAGTGCCCTTTGTCACGTGCCTTTGTAGCCTGCCTGCTTTCCTGCCTGCTTTCCTGCCTGCTTTCCTGCTTGCTTTTCTGCTTGCTTTTCTGCCTGCATAACTTAACCCAATCCCAATGACATGCCTGCCTGCCTTGTCCCATTCAGGTGGCCACCAGCATCAATGGAATATACTTCCTCCCAACACTCAATGATCCAGAAGTCGATCCCTTCAGGTGCTCCCTTTTCTTTGACTTTATATTGTTTTCTTCTTTTCTGCTTTCTCTTGCACGTGCTCTGTCCTATGTGCTTGATGAACCTCATCTATATCATTTCCTTCATATGCTTTCTCTTTTCTTTTTGTTTTTTCTTTTGGTTGCCCTCATGTGCCTTCTCTCATGTGCTTCTCAGCTTTCCTGCATCTACCATGCAAGGGTGGATCGAAATGCACAACCCTCTCAAAGCCCCTGAAAGAATGTGTTGTAACCTCTCTTCCCTCTCCCTCCCACCATCCCAATGCTGCAGGGTATTTTTGAGAATTCTCAAAAGATATTCTGCAGCACAACCCTCTCAAAGCCCCTGAAAGAATGTGGTGTAACCCTCTTTCCTCACTCCCTCCCACCATCCCAATGCATGGTACAGGGAAGTGGTGATTGCACTGCTGAGAGCCAAGGGCGCAGGGGGGGTAGGGCTGAAGCGAACAGAGATAGTGGAGGCCACACGCATTGCACTTAAAGCTCAAGTGCCCGCTGCAACGTACCAACGGGTGAGCCTGCCTGCCTTCCTCCCTCCCTCCCTGCTGGAAAGGACCAAGACAGCTTTCATCTCTCCTTATTCTTATCTGCTGGTCCCTTTTACGCTCAACGCCCCTAATCTTGTTCGGTTCGTCCTTTTTACAAGCAGGTTCTGAAGGAGTTGTGTGTCACTAATGGTGCTGCGTGGGTGTTGAAGCCAGGGGATGGCAGCACAGTGTAGGCTCCACCTCATGCTGTACTGGTGCCTTTGTGAAGCACATGCAATCTGAATCTTCGCAACAATGTGCAAGCTGTGCAAGTGCGGGCATGATTGTGTAAAACACCAGAATACGGTAAGAGCATTTCAGCCCTTTGTATTCATCACAAACCCAGTGCATTCTGAGATAAGGAGGCCTCCTACACAAATGAAGTGGTAAAAAAACTGGAACTGGTTGTTTGTCTTTGATAACACAGTCCATATGACAACCTGGCTGCAGTTGCATGACACAGCCAGACGGACACACCCAGCCAGATTTGTCAGCAATAAATAAGTACCGGTACATATACACATTGCTAGACATGGTTAGCACTACATGACCTACATAAATTAAGAGATTATTTTACAGGACTACACCTAGTCAATGCTGCCAGCCACACCAGAAGCATTCACTTGCACCAGACCCTCCAACCACTCCTATTGTCACATCACGGTCTTCAAGGCCGCCAGGGAGGCCTCACTGCAGCCACCCTTGTCACCCTCACATTGCCTTTCTTCCCCTCAGACTTCACATTGTCAACTCTCTCCTGTCGCCTCCTGGTTTGTTGTTTGGATCCCGTACCATCCTCAGAGCACACAGATCCATGCAGAGCCTTCTTTTCCTCCACTGCAACGGTCTTCACAGCAGGAGCACGTGCGCTCCCGGGTTTGGGAATGCGTGAACACACAGATCCAAGCAGCACCTTCCTCTCATTCGCAGCAACGGCCTTCAAAGCAGGAGCACGAGCGCTGCCAGGCTTGGGAATGCGCGTAGGCAGCAGCTTCAAGGTAGCCAACGCCATTCTCGAGACTGAGCGCTTGCTTGAAGCCAGCTCTGTAGTCGCTGCTGACTTCAAGACTTGGTCGGGTTCCCGCTCCAAGTCACCATTGTTGCACTTCTTAAGCTTGCTGTGACCAGCAGTGACAGCCTCTCTGGTCACTGCTGCCCAGGGTAAGGCTTTGCTGTTGTCCACGTAATCTTGACTGCTGTAGAGTCGCGTCACGTTGCAGAAGCTGCTGCTGAGAAGCGTATTGCAGCTGCTGTCCGCCATGCTAATCATGCTGGCGACAATGCTGCAAACGCTCACCCCATCACACTCCACCTGTAAGTCCTTGTCAGAAGATTCAACTGCAGCCTCAATGGATGCCTCTGCAGGTTCAGGGAAGCCATCCACAGCTGCAGAGAACTCCTCTGAGGTTTGAGAAGAGTACCCTGCAGCTTCGTACGAAATTTCTTCCGCCTCAAAGGAACCCGCTGCAGACTCGGTTGACTCCTGTGCAGCCTCAGAGGAGTCCCATGACGCCTCAATCTGCGAGTCCTCCTCCTCTGCAGCCAAATAGGGAGATGATACAGCTGGGACTTGAACCTGCGACTGCAGGGGAGCATCCCGGTTCTTCCAGAGACGAAGGGCTTCAGAGAAACTAGGATAATCAGCTTGAGCCATGAGAATCTAGTGGTACTCGAGTGAGTTAAGAGGAAACTGCCTCAAGAACAGAGTTCCGACGGTAGAAAACTTGGAACACAGAAGCAAGTGTGAAGCTTGGTAGGAAGATTGCAATCAAGACTCGTAGAGAAAGCTTGGAAGTAGGACTCTGAGAATGATTGGGCTGAGGGAATGATAATTTGTAACTGAGGTGAGGAGGCACAAAGGCAGAGGAGAGGAGGGAGGAGAGTTGCGGGGAGGAGCAGCAGAGGGGGTGGAACAGGCTTGGGGAACTCCTGCTGCACTTTCACCCTCCGGGATCTTCTGAGCTCTTTGCTCCGGCAAGCTGCCCGGCTTGAAATTTTTATAAGGGCAAACATACTAAATGAATCTGCTGGCTGCTCGGTTCTCACGGGCAAGGCTACGGCGCGAGAAATTTCAGTTCCGCTGCCCTTCAAGAGGCGGCTGTTTCAGGCTCGGACGAGTTCGCGAGCTTCGTTGCGACGAAACTAGAGGCTCGTTTGCGAAATGATCGACAAGCGCGATTCCGGAGTTCTCTGGGACGGGTAAGAAAATTCTTGGGCAGAATGTGGATCCATCTGAAATTACGCGCAGAATATGGGCTAGAGAGCGACAGCGGGAATTACGCGCGGCGAAAATCTCGCCTACCCGTTCGAAAGCAAAACAAAAGAGATTCTCTAGGATCCGACGACTTCGTGGAATGGGAGCAACAAAAAGGCTCGGTGAAAATCCAGTGGTCCCTAACCAGAGACTATCGAGGAGACATAACCAGATTCATCTCCGAAAAAAGCTCTTGCTAGTGGGATTCGATCTGGGATGAAAGGAAGGTTTGAATTTGAACTCGGTACAAAGGTTCTCGTGAGTTCTTTCATTTTCCTTTTATAAGCAAAGTACATTGGTAATTGTAAAACATCTAGATAACCGGACGCGTTCTGTTCCAACCGTCCCAGTATGTAGCGCAAAGGTTTTGAAACGTTTCCACTCAGTTCGTTTCGTCCAGAGCTTACATAAGGGTGTTGGAGCTACTGCCTAGACATCAAACAGTAATCAGCTGTGGATCTCAACTTTCACTTAAGTGTTCACGTCTAAAGTAGAGCGTAGAACATTCCAAGCGCAACTTCAAGTTCAAAGTTCGTGAGCCTGAAGAGGTCCTGATTTGCTGGGTAATTGATAGGTTATTCCCTCAGAGTATTCGTAGGTTCCTACTACCGGCACCACTGTTCATACCGCCAGTTTCGTTCCTACATGCTTTGCACGCGATTGACTTTTTCGACGGCGCACTTTGCGCCATAGTACTGACACTGACTCGATCAGCGCAGGCTTTCGTGTTAGGAATCTCTCTTCCTTGTTCCCCGCAGCACTCTTTCGGTCGCTAGGATGGCGCACAATCCGAGCCATCTCATGCCTACAGGTGCGTCACTTGCAACGGATACAACCAGCCGCGCTGATTCGTATTGCAATTGCTTTCGCTTCTCGTTCCGCGTATATTTACCTCGCCGCTTGCTTCCGCTCATCAACGCGTGCAGAGGTATTTATCATGAACGGATAGTAATACGTATTCGTCCTCTCACTGCCTGTGTTGCGTGCGCGCGGCAGAGCTGATCGACCGGTGCATAGGTTCGAAGATCTGGGTGATCATGAAGGGCGATAAGGAGCTGGTGGGCACGCTGAGGGGCTTCGACGTTTTCGTCAACATGGTGCTGGAAGACGTGACTGAGTAGTGAGTACTGTGCTTTGTTTCTCCCTTCTTTTTCGAATCACAACTGAAAACAGGCGGTCCTGGAAGACGTGACTGAGTAGTGAGTTGTGTTTGCCGAATTGTCAGGGAGTGTCTATGAGTTCAGTGTTCGAGGTGCGATAATCTGAGTGCGTGATGCTTTAGAAGGTGTCTGAGTTGTGAGTTTGAACTGCCAGCCGTGCACGTTTGCAACGAAGGTTCCTTGCAAGGAATATATGCATTTGGCAGCCAACGTGGCTCTGAATGAAGGTTGTGACTGATCAGCAGGTTTGATTCGCAATGTGACACTCCATGATTCCATATAATGCAACATTTACCAAGCCTCCAAAACGCTCTGCACCCATGTTTTTCCAATCCCCGGCCATGCTGCAAATCTGTCAGGCTTATCCCTACTGATGTCATGATTTCAGGCCTCTCCCTTCTGATGTCATACTGTGATTCTGACATGGCAGCGAGCACACACCAGAGGGCAGCAGAGTAACCAAGCTGGACCAAATACTGCTCAACGGAAACAACATTGCCATTGTGAGTCTCAATTTCTCTCGGTCACTTCACGTGATTCCCGTGCTTGCTTCTTCTGCTTGCTTCTCTGCCTTACATGTTCTTCAGCAACCCCACATTGGCTCCTTGAACACAGCCACAGCCCCTCACCCCCCTCCTCCTCCCCATTTTCCACTCCACACTCCACAATCCAAGCATGTGAATGTACGGGGTCAAGTTTCCATCTGTTTATTCACCCACCTATGACCCCAGACTCACATGAACGTCGTAGGTGCCAATGGCAGCACACGGATCCTGTATTAGAAGTTTCGTGGTGGGTGGTCATGAAACTCGCTCATCTTGTTTATATGCACATAAAGAACAAACATTCTGTTGGAAGCTCTTGGAAAGTGCATACCTGCTCTCTTCACGTTTCTCTCTGCCTCCCTTCCTTTGCATCGTTACCCTTGATTTCCTCTGGCAGCTGGTCCCTGGTGGAAGTCCAGAAGGGTCTTAAGAATGTCCAGTGATTTGTGGCTTAAACGTCTACTGAAGCAAGCTCTGATCCAGCAGGCTTCGATGCGGCTGTGGAGCCTCCAACGCTGGCTGTCTGCATTAGGTCCACGGGAGGCTTACCGCGGGAGGAGAGGAGACGTACCTACCCTGGGAAGGATATGCCTGGGTGAAAATAGAGGCGTGCTTGGATGTTTTTTTTTTTTTTTTTTTGGTCTTAGCCATCGCCTCTTCTGGTTCCTTCTCATGGAACAACAAACGGGCGGGAGCTAGCTCCTCTTGCACTTTCTTTCTCACTTCCTCCTCACCCCTTGCTCTTCTAGGCAACTCAAGCTAGTGATGGAGCTGAAATCAAGCAGCAGCCCATCAGGTCCCTTATTTGTACACACCTATTTACACTTCCTTGGATTTGGACTGTTGTGGAAACAATTCACCATTCTCCAAAATTGACGGCCACAAATCCAGCCAGCAATCTGCCATTGGTGGAGCGAAGCTCGTTCATGAGGCGACTCCAGTTGGAGCCGAGGCTGCCGACAAAGTAGTCACACTGCGCAGCGATCAGCACGCTTGCAAAGCTCACGGCCACTGATTAATCGCGCTCGTACTGCCGCAGCGACCCTGCTGCTGCCTGCTGGCGCGCGTTAGACGAGTAGAAGAAAGTCCACGAGGGTTGATCCGCTGCTCGGTCCACATTGGCCTGCGTGGTGTGGGGAGAAGTGGTGAACAGAGCCTGACACAATCATTCACTGCCTCATCCCGTTGAGATGCCCTGCTGCCGCGAGTAGAAGAAAGCCCATGAGGGCTGATCCGCTGCTCGGTCCACGTTGGCCTGTGTGGTGTGGGGAGAAGAGAAGGTTAGATGGGAGTAAGCACACAGTCTGACAGGACCAGAAAGTGGCAGCAAGAAATTGAAGTTTGGTGGATGAGAAAGAGCAAATTGCAAATCAGGATGCAATGGAAACAGGCAGGATGCCAATTTGACAGGAAAAACACCTGCGTCTCGGTGTTGAGCCAGACGTGGGAGAGGTCGAGCTTGTGTTATAGAATGGGCAAGCGATTTGACACACATCTCAGGACGGAATGGGAAAAAGGCAGGATGCATCTTGGCATGCAAATCACCTGCGTCCCAGTGTTGAGGCAGACGTGGGAGAGGTCGGGCGCATGTTTTAGTATGGAAATGCAATTTGACACACATCTCAGGACGGAATGGGAAATGGGCAGGTCGTTGTTTGTCAAGCACATCACCTGCGTATCGGTGTTGAGCCAGACGTGGGAGAGGTCGAGCCCGTGGTGGCGGAGGCGGATGAGAAAGGCGGGGAACGAAAAACGGGCAGCACATCATCTGACAAGCGCATCACCTGGGTCTCAGTGTTGAGCCAGACGTGGGAGAGGTCAATTGCATGTTACAGAACGGGCAGGCGGTTTAACACACATCTCACCTGCGTCTCGGTGTTGAGCCAGACGTGGGAGAGGCCGAGCGCATGTTATAGTATGGAAATGCGATTTGACACACATCTCAGGACGGAATGCACCTCATCTGGCAGGACCTCATCTGACAAGCGCATCACCTGCGTCTCGGTGTTGAGCCAGACGTGGGAGAGGTTGAGCCCGTGGTGGCGGAGGCGGTTGATGTGGAAGAGGTGGGCGTCCAGCGAGGTCAGCCCCATCTCTGCAAACTTGTCCGTACCCCTTACATGCAGACTCACTATAGGCCGCGGCATGTACGGCTCCTGCACTCCCAGCGACCAGCTGGCATCCGAGCCGTTGCCGTTGGCATTCTCGCCGCCCCCCCCCTGTGGCACTGAAAGTGGCGTCTGCGTCTGAGTGGAAGGGCAAGGAGGAGCCTGCAAGAGCCGCCAACCAGGCTGCCGCTCTTCTCCTCCTTGCTTCCCGGTCACTTGCATTGGCTGGGACGTTGAGTGCGGTAGGTGCAGAAGAGGTGGCGGCGGCAGAGGTGGCCGCAGAGGTGGCAGAAGCAGCAGGGGCGGTGCCGTGAGAGAGGGAGGAGAGGGCTTCTGATTGGGTTTGAAGGAAGCGAGTGACGTGATTGGCTGCGAGGGTGCCGAAGGCGCGGTGCCTCTCCTGGTTGGTGACGTGGCAGAGATGAGCTGACGGCCACCGCATGATGAATCGCACCGCCTGCGCCCGCCACCAATGCACCTGGGGGCAGGGAGAAGAGGGAAGAGAGAGAATATCATGAGTACGAATCAGGCTGAAACGCACCGCCTGCGCCCGCCACCAATGCACCTGGGGGCAGGGAGAAGAGGGAAGAGAGAGAATATCATGAGTACGAATCAGGCTGAAACGCACCGCCTGTGCCCGCCACCAATGCACCTGGGGGCAGGGAGAAGAGGGAAGAGAGAGAATATCATGAGTACGAATCAGGCTGAAACGCACCGCCTGTGCCCGCCACCAATGCACCTGCCAGCATGAGGGGGCAATTAATCGGGGGACAAGATATATCCATTTCAACCCTCACACACACCCCGTAGTTGCTCTCCTCTCACTCCCCTTCCGGTCACGGTATGAGACACTGAGCGAATTGACCTTCTGAATTCTCCTCACACATCCATTTGTGAATACCCCTGGCATACCCGTAATAGACAACTTTCACAGGCCAAGCTCAGGTGTGTTTTGAGTCTACTTATAACACTTGTAAATCCTCCTGGCACACCTTTTATAGTCACCTTTCCTTGTTATAATCACCTTGCGGAGTTCAGGGTCAAGAGGCATGAGGCGCCCCTCTGCTTCCACTGTGCATGTGCTGTTGAGATATGCATCGCCCCACAGGCTGACGTAGGAAGAAGAGGAACAAGGGGAAAAGCAGGGAACAAGGGGGAAACAGTGCATGAGGAAGGTGGGACCATGAGGCGCCCCTCTGCTTCCACCGTGCATGTGCTGTTGAGATGTGCGTCGCCCGACAAGCTGACTCAAGAGAAGTGGGTGTTCGGATGAAGAAACAGGGGAGGGAGGAGGGTGGGTCAACGGGGCATAGATGGGCGGAGAATGGGTGGTCATGCGATGCATGGGCAGGTGGTGCATGGGCAGGTGGTGCATGGGCAGGTGCACACACAGCGGTCGGGCGAGGAAGCAGCTTATAGTGTTGCCGTTGGGACCCACCTGGGAGCACAGGAGCACACAAACTCTGCACAGTCCTGCCATCCCACCTCTACAAACCCACCCCTATCAACCCACCTGGCAGCAGATGACTCCATGGAATTCGCCATGCCGATGCACACGAAGCGGTCAGTTGAAGCAGCAGCGGCTTCAAAGCCCATCCCGGCGCAGTCGGGAAGCGTGTTGGTGACCAGCTGCTGCATGGCCACTCGACGGCACCTACCCACCCGCACACCTGGTAAGATAGGAGGAACCATTCGAGCGGCAAGCAACCTCTGAAAAGGGGCCTCGACCCATCCCCACCCCCTCCCCTACTCACCTAGCAGCAGAGGACTCCATGGAATTCGCCATGCCGATGCACACAAAGCGGTCAGGGGAAGCAGCAGCGGCTTCAAAGCCCATCCCGGCGCAATCGGGAAGCGTGTTGGTGACCAGCTGCTGCATGGCCACTCGACGGCACCTACCCACCCGCACACCTGGTAAGATAGGAGGAACCATTCGAGCAGCAAGCAACCTCTGAAAAGGGGCCTCGACCCATCCCCACCCCCCTCCCCTACTCACCTAGCAGCAGAGGACTCCATGGAATTCGCCATGCCGATGCACACAAAGCGGTCAGGGGAAGCAGCAGCGGCCTCAAAGCCCATGCCGGCGCAGTCAGGGAGCGTGTTGGTGACCAGCTGCTGCATGACTACCCGGCGACACTCCACTGAGGTGATGGGGAAGAAGTAGCAGTCCCACCTGCTGTTGTGCCCCACGGCTGGTGGAGAGGGGACGGGGAGGGGCGGTTGGGGTGGGGTGGGGTTGGGTATGGGGGTTGGGGAAGTGAAGAGAGAAGTCAGTAACACTCGACTGGGGCAAACAGCAGCTTCTTCAAAGTGCACTCCCGCGCGCTCAGGGAGCGTGTTGGTGACCAGCTGCTACATGACCACTCGGCGACACTCCACTGAGGTGATGGGGAAGAAGTAGCAGTCCCACCTGCTGTTGTGCCCCACGGCTGGAAGGGTGTGCGGAGGGAAAGGAGGGCAGAGAAAAGAGGGTGTATGGGAGGTGGGTATGTGGAGGGGGGCACCGGACCCAGCTGCTGCATGGCCACTCGACGACACTCCACTGAGGTGATGGGGAAGAAGTAACAGTCCCACCTGCTGTTGTGGCCCACGGCTGGTGTGACGGTGAAGGGTGGGGAGGGGTGGGAAGTGGTGGGGAGGGGAATATGGGGGATAGGGATGATAGAGGAGCAGTTAGCAACACTCCACTGAGGTGATGGGGAAGTAGTAGCAGTCCCACCGACTGTTGTGCCCCACGGCTGGTGATGGAGAGGAGAGATATGGGAGCAGGGTGTGGGAAGAGGTGTATGATGAAAGGGGAACGAGGGGGGGTTTATGGGGGGATGAGTATGGAGGGTTTAATGCGGGTAGGGGGTTGGGGAGGGGACATGAGGAGTGGGATATGGCGACGGAGGGGGTAAGGTGAGGGGGGTATAAGGAACGGGGTATTGGGAGGGGGATATGGAGAAGGGAAGGGGGTATAAAAGGGGGGCATGGGGAGGGCGGCATGAGGGTGCGTAAGGGAAAAGGGCTTGCCTTCACAGTCAGGGGTGCGGGCGTGCAGGTAGGTGTCGGGGTCCTCCACTAGCACTCTGTTGTTGAGCATGGCCAGGCTGAGCATGGCCGACATCACATGCACCTGGTGGGTCGATATGTGGGTATGGGCACGTGAATGGGAAGCACCCTACATGTAGGTAGAGCACAGGTGAGTGTCGGGGTCCCTAACCAGCACTCTGTTGTTGAGCATGGCAATGCTGAGCATGGCCGACATCACATGCACCTGGTGGGATGGGATGGTGGGTTGGTGGGTTGGTGGGTTGATATGAGTATACGGGCATGTGGATGGCAGAGCGCAGGTAGGGGTCGGAGTCCCCTCCCCAGCCAGAACTCTGTTGTTGAGCATGCCAACGCTCAGCATGGCTGACATCACATGCACCTGATGGGATGGTGGGTGGGATGTATGGATACATGCAGTCGACAAATAAGTGCAACACGTGTCATGTCAGCTTTAAACAGGTAGGCGTCAGGGTCCACTACGAGAATATTGCTGTTGAGCAGGGCAGGACTGAGAAGATTCACCTGAACATCCATCAAATTCACCTGAACATCCATCAGATTCACCTGAACATCCATCAGATTCGCCTGAAAAGCCAATGAATTCACCTCTGAGCCTATCTATTTTCACCCAATAACCCCAACAGATGCCATCAAATTCACCTGAGAGCCCATCAAATTCACCTGAGGGAGCCATCAAATTCACCTGAGGGCTATGTTGCGAAAGACGCGTCCTGCGCCTTGGACGCATGCGTCCAGACGCATGCGTCCAGACGCAGGACGCTAGATCAGGACCAGTAAGACGCACCAAAAGACGCAAGCCCGGGCAGGGCAAAAAAACCCCCGGGCAGGCAAAAAATAATTTATAGGGCATGGGAAGAGAGGGGGGGCTGGGGACGTTCCACACTTTCACAGCATATTTGGCCCCAACAACAAAATTTTCCCCCAAATCTCAAGATTAAGGTGAGTCAAGCTACTAAGCTAAAACCTCTAGGGTTTTCGAAAGAGAATTGGGTGGGTGGGTACAATGGTGGTGTTCTGGTGACTCCTGCGGAGGGGGGAGGTGGGGGGGCGAATGTAAATGATGATCGTTCCGAGGGTGTTTCCTGGCCCGATTCCACCACCTCCCGCTACAACCGAAGGTGAGAAATTTCGGGCACGAGGGGGGGAAGGCTCCGATCGGTGTTTTCTCCCCCAGCTCCTCTCTTACATCTGTCCCAAATCCCCGTGAAGAGTGGTTGCCGAAAGAGGGGGCGAGGGAGGCAAAATTTGCCTGAGGAGTCACTGGGGAGGAAGGTGGGGAGGGTAAATGTGCAGCTTCCAAGGGGTGCACATCCCTGAGTGTAAATGAGCGTTCTGTTGGCATTTACCTTCGTTTTGGTTCGGAGGGCAAATTGGTGGCTCGGCACGGTTTTACGGGCTGACCGACGTGTCGAACCAAAAACGCAGAGAGGGGAAGATTCCTATTTCCCCTCGCTCCCCCTTCGCCAGTGCCTAGAGAACACCACCAATGAGAGAACAAATGACTAGGATGCATTGCTAAATGGGCTTGGTGGTGGGCCACCCACAAAGGTTGGGTTTTCTAGATGTGAAGTGGTTGAGAGGTTTGTGAAATTCAAATTTGGTTGAAGGGGTATGAAATGTTGGGGGGGTTGTTTTTCAATGTCGAATTGGGCAAGGGGGGGTCGAAATTTCGCAATTTCGACAGTCGCGTCGAAATCGCGAATGTGTATTTCGCGATCTCGAAAATTTTCTATCCGGGCAGCCCGAAAAGAAATTCGATGTGCGTCCTGCGTCTGGACGCGCATCCTGCGTCCGAGCGTCCAGACGCAGGACGCAGCGTCCCCCCAGCGTCTTTCTCAACATAGCCTAAGGGAGCATCAAATTCACCTGAGAGCTCATCAAATTCACCTGAGAGCCATCAAATTCACCTGCGAGCCATCAAATTCACCCGAGAGAGCCATCAAATTCACCTGAGAGCCATCAAATTCACCCGAGAGCCATCAAATTCACCTGAGAGCCCATCAAATTCACCTGAGAGCCCATCAAATTCACCTGAGAGCCAGCCCCGTGGCCACCAGGTTTGGGCCACTTGGCAATGAGCAGGCGCTTGTCCGTGCAATCCCCAGGTGGGAACTGATGGCGCCAGATGTCCCTCTGCACGACACGTGTCAGTGGCAGATTGGCTTCATCCGGCCCTCTGATCTGTGCGGAACATGGGTGGGGATTAGACAGAAATGCTTGAACCATGGGCTCCAAAAGGATGTGTTGAAGCTTGACATTGAACTGGCATTGCATTGCGATGGCCATTTAACTTGACACTGACGCTAGCGTTGACGTTGACACTGACACTGCCAAGGACACTGACAATAATACTGACAATGATACTGACAATGATACTGACAATGATACTGACAATGATACTGACAATGATACTGACAATGATACTGACAATGATACTGACAATGATACTGACAATGATACTCACAATAATACTGACAATCATACTGACAATGATAGTGACAATGATACTCACAATAATACTGACAATGATACTCACAATAATACTGACAATGATACTGACAATGATACTGACAATGATACTGACAATGATACTGAGAATGATGCTGACAATGATACTGACAATGATACTGACAATGATACTGACAATGATACTGACAATGATACTGACAATGATACTGACAATGATACTGACAATGATACTGACAATGATACTGACAATGATACTGACAATGATACTGACAATGATACTGACAATGATACTGACAATGATACTGACAATGATACTGACAATGTTACTCACAATGATACTAACAATGATACTGACAATGATACTGACAATGATACTCACAATAATACTGACAATGATACTGACAATAATACTGACAATGATACTGACAATGATACTGACAATGATACTGACAATGATACTGACAATGATACTGACAATGATACTGACAATGATACTGACAATGATACTGACAATGATACTGACAATGATACTCACAATAATACTAACAATGATATTGACAATGATACTCACAATAATACTGACAATGATACTGACAATGATACTGACAATGATACTGACAATGATACTGACAATGATACTGACAATGATACTGACAATGATACTGACAATGATACTGACAATGATACTGACAATGATACTGACAATGATACTGACAATGATACTGACAATGATACTGACAATGATACTGACAATGATACTGACAATGATGCTCACAATGATACTCACGATGATACTGACAATGATACTGACAATGATACTGACACTGACAATGACAATGATACTCACAATAATACTGACAATGATACTGACAATGATACTGACAATGATACTGACAATGATACTGACAATGATACTGACAATGATACTGACAATGATACTGACAATGATACTGACATTGACATCAAACTTGACATTGGCATTAGCCATCCAAAGTATCTGGTGCTGTTCTACAGCAGTGCAGAAGGGACTATAACCCTTACCCATGGCGGCTGCGGGACCTCCTCCCCCTGCTCTTGCCCCGAGCACCCACCAGCCTCCGCCCTCCTTGACCCTCCACGGGTCCAAGCGGGCTCCTCTCCCTGCGCGCCTCTCCGCTCCCACGCCTCCCGCTCTGCGCTCGCTCGCGCGCAGTCCTCCAGGTGCGGCGCAGCGGGCACGCCCGCGGGGAGGGAGACGGCGGAAGGGGGGAGCACGGAGTTCTCCGACAGCCCGTACGCTTCCGACCACGCTTTAACTAACGCCTCCGCTTCCTGCGACGCGGCATCGCCTAGAAACTGCGGCGCGGCTAGCGCTAGCGTTAGAAGCGGGGCGGATCCGCGAGTGTTGCCGACGGGAAGGGAGGGAGGAGCGTGAAGCGCGCTGATGAGGAGGCGAAAGAGGAGAACGGATGGTAAGTGTGATGGTGCGACGCGGTATGAGCTGAAGCGGGGATGCATGATTCTGCCTGGGAGCCTTAATAACAGCGTCGAAGCCGACACGAAGTGGTCTGCATCGAAGTGACTCACGCGTCGCGGATTTTCTAGAAATTTAAAAAATATATATATAAAAAAAGGTGTACCGGAGCGAGGCAAGGTACAGGGGCTCGTGGACTTGATTCAACGAATTGTGCTGCTAAAATTTCTATGCCTTTTATTCGTAAGTAAACGACAAAGATAGTCGAGTGTTGTCGTAGACCTTGTACAGGGGCGACGCGCGGCTCGCACTGGCTAGCGGGTGGAAATAGCAACTTGTAGCGGTTCTTCCGCAGGTGGTGGTAATCAGCGCGCTACGCGCTGGGGCCAACCGAATCATATCCGCGTCTTGCATCGGATCGGTATATATGAGCGGCCATCGCTTGCTTAGTAGACCGGACCAGCCCGGAAGGCCATCAGACAGCCCAAAATTATAGGAAATCGAACCTAGCTCGTCGAGGACCTTCTAAATTCTATACAATTCGTGCACATCGCATGCGTCAACGTCAGCGTCTGCGGAATCGTCTACGTCTGACGACAAGCTTCGACGTTTACGTCGAAAGGGTTGCGTAGGGTTGTATCCACTGCGTTTACTAAGTTCTTCATGATGATGTATATTAACTTAAAACATGACAAGATCGATAGTCCCTTATTACGGAGAAAATACATTTTCTAGAAATTTCTTCCCTCAAAATTGTTTTGAGTGCTAACTAATATGGTTCAAATCTTTTGTGATAATAAAAAAGATGAATTGTTTACACCTAGTGCATATTCTATAGTTCTATCAGCGTACTATAGCGGGTTTTATGTTTGCAATTACTGTACCTTATCTGCTGTGTCAGCTAGTGGGATGGCGTGGCACGCATGTGTTTTCACGTGACACTAGCTTTCAAGTCTAGTGTGAGCGAATTTTTTTTTTAGTATTGCCAAATGCCCAGATTTTGTTTTTTCTTGCCATTCACCCTTGTCCTCATATTACAATGTATACTGTACATAGAAAGTTTCAGTTCCTCGTTCTGCGCTGGCAAAAAAATTCTCGCCAGCTCCACGACAACCACAACCAAGGGATATCCGTCCCTTTCACAGCTGTCAAACCGAATTTGACGCGCTCTTCATTTCTTGGTTCTTGTTCTTCGTTTCTCTCGAGAAGCACCTGCTTGCTCACTCTCCCCCCCACCCCATTTTCTTCTCTAGCTTTTTCTCCTAACACCCCGCCATCGCTAGCACCTCCCACCCAGCCGTCGCTCTCCCTCCCATCCCCCGTATCCTCTTTCGCCCTCCTCGCCGTCGCCTCTCCCCCTTCCCGCCGTCGCCTCTCCTCCTCCCCGCCGTCGCCTCTCCCTCCTCCCCACCGTCGCCTCTCCTCCTTCCCGCCGTCGTCGCCTCCCCCTCCTCCCCGCCGTCGCCTCCCCTCCTTCCCGCCGTCGCCTCTCCTCCCCCCGTCGTCGCCTCCCCCTCCTCCCCGCCGTCGCCTCCCCTCCTCCCCGCCGTCGCCTCACCCTACTCCCCGCCGTCGCCTCCCCCTCCTCCCCGCCGTCGCCTCACCCTCCTCCCCGCCGTCGCCTCCCCCTCCTCCCCGCCGTCGCCTCCCCCTCCTCCCCGCCGTCGCCTCCCCCTCCTCCCCGCCGTCGCCTCCCCCTCCTCCCCGCCGTCGCCTCCCCCTCCTCCCCGCCGTCGCCTCCCCCTCCTCCCCGCCGTCGCCTCCCCCTCCTCCCCGCCGTCGCCTCCTCCTCCTCCCCGCCGTCGCCTCCCCCTCCTCCCCGCCGTCGCCTCACCCTCCTCCTTGCCGTCGCGTCACCCTCCTCCCCGCCGTCGCGTCACCCTCCTCCCCGCCGTCGCCTCACCCTCCTCCCCACCGTCGCCTCCTCCTCCTCCCCGCCGTCGCCTCCCCCTCCTCCCCGCCGTCGCCTCACCCTCCTCCCCGCCGTCGCGTCACCCTCCTCCCCGCCGTCTCCTCCGGCGACAGGTGCACGAGCGCCAGCGCGAGTTGGTGCGCGAGCGCATTGGTGCGCGAGCGCGTTGGTGCGCGAGCGCGGATTGTTTCATGAGTTACCGTGGTTTTCAGGTGCGTTCCCGGTCCTTTCATTCTCCCTTCCCCCTCTGAAATTTCTTCTTTTTTTGCTCTCGTCGTTTTTTTTTTCGTGTGCCGATTGGTCTCCTCTTCCGTAGCTCTCTTCGTGAAGAAAGGGAGAGACGCGGAGCGCGAGGAAGAGCGAGTGCACGGGAGCGCACGCACAGGAGAGTGCGCGTGAGAGTGAGCGTGAGAGAGCGTGTGAGAGCGCGTGAGAGAGTGCGTGAAAGAGCGTGTGAGAGCGCGTGAGAGAGCGCGTGATATGGCGCGTGGGATAGGGTGAGAGAGTGCGCGTGAGAGAGCACATGAGAGTGCGCGTGAGAGAGCGCGTGAGTGTGCGTGAGAGTGCGTGTGGGAGAGCGCGCGAGAGAGCGCGCGCGAGAGTGCGTGCGAGATTGCGCGCAAGGGAGCGCGGGAGAGAGCGCGTGAGAGCACGCGTGAGGGAGCGCGTGAGAGCGCGCGTGAGAGAGCGCGTGATGGAGCGCCGCCGGAGATTGCGCGAGAGAGAGCGCGTGAGAGTGCGCTCGAGAGTGCGAGCGAAAGAGTGCGTGAGGGAGCGCGCGGGAGAGTGCGCGAGAGTTCGCGCAAGGGAGCGCGCGAGGGAGCGCGCGAGCGAGCGCGTGAGGGCGCGTGAGTTTGCGCATGAGGGAGCGTGCGAGAGAGGCGTGAGAGCGCGCGCAAGAGGGCGCGCGAGAGTGAGCGCGAGAGTGCTGGTGTGAGTGCGAGGGCGAATGCGAGCGTGAGTGTGGATATGAGAGTGAGGGCGAATGTGAGGGTGAGTGCGAGGGAGAATGCGTGCCTGAGTGCTGCGGGTGTGTGTGTGGGTTTAGAGGTTGAGCGCGATGGTGCGGGTGTGATTGCAATGGTGAATGCGAAGGCGAGTGCAAGTATGATTCCAAGCGTGAGTGCGCGCATGTGTGAGGATGATCGTAAGGGTGAATGTTGAGGTGAATGCAAGGGTGGCCGCAAGGTTTTGCATGCATTCTGACATAATGTTTACTATCAAGTCACATTTGTAAGATGCCAAATGTAAATGTTTCCATCACTCATCTTTCGTTTGTATATTGCATTCTTCAGCTTCAATTTCTGTTCCGCTTACGTTGTTTTTGTGTATCGAACCATTTGTTTCTTGTGCGTCATGGAATCTGCATTCTCTGATTTTGTTTCTTTGTGCAACTCATGCAAGTTGTATTCTTTGATTTTGTTTTTGTTTGTGCAGAGAGTGAGTTGCATTCGCTGTTTCTTCATTCCTGTGCAGGGAGTTCAAGCTCCAGTCTTCTTTTCTTGCGGAGAAAAGGGATGGGGAGAAGGGAGATGAGGGAAATGAGGGAGGGAGGGAGGGAGGGAGGGAGGGAGGGAGGGAGGGAGGGAGGGGAATGGGGCACAAGCTAGTGATGATTTACACAAGGCTGAACTTCATTCATTACGCTTGCATGCTTATTACCATAGCTGTATGCTTTTTGGGTTGTTTGTGTGTATGTGTGTGAGTACGTACATGTGCATATGTGTGTGGTGTTTGTTTCGAGGTGTGGTGCTAAGTGCCTCGTGAATGCAACTCGGATTGTGATCGTCGGTGGGGCAGCGATGCTAGCCTCTTCCGTACCATATCAATCTTAGTTGCAGCATTGATGCATTTAGTATTCGCTTTGAAACATTCTCAATCGTTGTCCTCTGTTTTTGTGACGGTTTGTGTGTTATCGTCTGTGCTTGTTTCGGGGGTGTGGTACTAAGTGCCTCGTGTATGCAACTGGGATTGTGATCGTCGGTGGGGCAGCTTTGCTCGCCTCTTCCGTACCATATCAATCTCAGTTGCTGCATTGATGCATTTTGTATTCCCCTCAGAACATGTACGACGGTTCTTGTACACCATCGATTTTGTACTCATTTGTGTATGTGTGTGTCTTTAGGTGGTACCGTTGTACAGATTTTCTGTTTGTTTTTGTGTTCGTGGGCCATTTGGTATCGTCATTAGTGCTAGAACGATTGTCCAATTGTTCCATTCGCCGTACTTATCGACGATTATGGAATGGTTGGAAACATTTGTTTTCATTTTTTCGGGGAAGTTACCGTGAATAGTGATTTCTTTCATAATTGATGGGAGAAATTCACTGTTCACGTCAGCCAACCGAAAAGTGGAAACGAATGTATAAGGTTGCTACGCAACCCAAAAAAACGTCAAATGTCTGCCGAATCCTCCTGAAAGAACTCAACCGAATTGATGTCATGGAGGGAACGAGAACCAGTCACAACTAACCAACGTCTAGAACTCCCTTCAAATCAGTTACAACCTCCCTCCCAATGTTGCGGAGCAGATTCAGCAGGAAGAGGACACCGCAGCGGATTGATGGCAGACCGATAGATGAAGCCCTATTCAGGTATCCGGAATTCGTGAGCTCCTGAACGAAATTCGAGGTGGTAACTGACACGGTGGTAAGAAATTACTGAGACGTTGCAACATTATGGCTGATTTAGTGACCATGGAGGGGTGATTGTGAAGCCGAAACCGAGAGAAGACAAAACGAAATGAGGTCATCATCAATCAAATGTGATGAACGCGAGGTGGAATACGGATACAAGGTCGTTACAAGTTTTGCTGGTTGACTTACTTGGACTCTCAGGGGGTGTTCTGTAGAAGCAGACAGGCCAGAACAAGGTCAACCGGAGATGCGAAAGTCCCCCAAGACGAATAAGCAGCAGAATAAGATGGGAGCATTGAATCAAGTAGATACACTTCTTGTGACAGGTTATATGCCTTAAAATGCATGATAACACAATTAAGTGAGTGAAGAAATGGCTAACTAAAATTGATAACTGAAGATGATTGAGAAATGCCGTTGTAAATCAATGTGCCAGAGACCGGTACGAACTGCTTGGTAATAAGCTGCACAAGAAAGAAGGAGAGACGAGTAAGCGATGGAAGAGGGCTTAAAGGCAACAGCTAGGAATGAATGAAGGAATGGGGAAAAGAAAAGGGGGAGGAGGGGGGGGAGGTGGAGCGGGGGGGATGGGGGAGGTGGGGGGGGATGGTTGCAGGAGGCGAAAGAAGATCCATGTTGCCCAACTCCATGCTCCAGTTCACCAGCCGTCAAATATTAAAAAAAAAACAAACAAACAAACCATTCGAAAACAGCAGGAAATAACCAAATTAACCACGTGATTTACCTTGATTGCTTCTTGGCTTGCCACCCCTCCAATCACAGCAGCAACACAGTGGAGCTCGCTGGCACCAAACCGGCACATCTCAGCCGTCAGATCGTCCGGAATCGACGGTGACTGGCTGGGGCTGCCGCCTCCACTGACGATAGCCCCTGCCAGGCTCTTGAGCCGTGCCACGTCATCATCGTCCACGTCACTGACAGGAGAATAGAGGGCACGTGGAAGGAGGCAAACGGAGACAGAGAAAGCGGATTCCTATTTCAGCCGGTAGCTGAGAAGCAGTGAAGAAAATACATGCAATCACAACACAATATACCATATACACCAAACAAGGAACAAAGACCTGACACCATAAACACCATATACACCTGACTGGTGTTTGATACAAGGAACTATTGTGACATTGGGCTTTTAATCGATAAAAAAATAATAGCAACAACGTACATAATCACATCAAGCTTGAAAACAACTCCATAAACAGTGAATCTTATGCCCGAAACGTGGACTTATGGTTCTTGCCTCACCCGGGGAAAGAGCCGGGGTAGCGGTGGAACTGGGAGTAGAAGTGATCGGCCCCTCTCAGGAGCACATACAGGGCTGCATGGCTGGCAGGTGGCGTGGGGAAGAGGGGGGGGGGGGGGAGGATGGGGAAGAAGGGTGGGACAGCGAGGCAGAGAAGTGGAAAGATATAAAAGATCTGCTGATTATTGTTCAATTGGCTTCACACATGACGCTGCTTCTGTGGAAGCAATATTAGAAACCTTCTGCACGAGGGGCAGCAATTCTTACTGCTGTACCTGCCGATGGGAGATGACACGACACTGTACCTCACCACCAGCGATGACATGAAACCATACCTGCCATTAGGAGACGACACGAGCTGTACGTGGCATCTGGAGATGACATGAAACTGTACCTGCCATCAGGAGATGACATGAAACTATACCTGCCATCGGGAGATGACATGAAACTGTACCTGCCATCTACGGATGACATGAAACTATACCTGCCATCCGGAGATGACATGAAACTGTACCTGCCATTTGGAGATGACATGAAACTATACCTGCCATCAGGAGATGACATGAGCCGTTGCAGTGTTGGAATGCAAGCTGGCGCCCCTGCTCCAAACTCCTCACTCAAAGGCTTGAAGCGAACCACCTTATAGTGAGTACAAGTGAAGGAGGAGAACGAAGGGAGGAAAGAAACCAAGGGTGCTTATGAATGGGCGCCACTTGTGTTTCTCTGGCTCTGGATCCTACCAGGAGACGCTGAAGGAACAAAAGTGTGAGGGGAATGGCATGGGGTTTACGGGGAACAGCAGCACTCAACCATAGAAATCACTCAGTTACACAAGGTGCCACTGATAATCCAGGCGCGTAAAGAACCAGCAGCACCCCACGGGTGCAACCACACCACACATGGAATTTCCCAAGTTTTGAGTAAAGAATAGCATGAGGCTGGGTTGCGTGCGGATTACCCTCAGGTTACGCGCGTTCTTGCAGAAGAGCTTGATAGTAGCGAGGGGAATGGAGGCGGGATCCCTGCCTATGCTCTTCAGCAGCTCGATGACGTGGCGCTGCACCGCTGCCACGTCAGCATCGGCTTTGCTAAGGTAGATTCTTTGAAGAGCCACATAGAAACTGGTGGCAGGGGTTGGCAGGTAAGTATTAGTGATGTGCGGGTGGGGATAAGGGGGATGGGGGGTGAACGGGGAGAGGAGAGAGTAGGGGGACAGGAGAGACACGAGGAGAGAGAGGGAGGGAGATGAGCAGGGGAAGGGAAACTGGAGAGCATGATGGGACGAGCAGACACGAATGCTTCTAGACTAATGACAACACTGTGCTGTGAAAGGCTTGTTGTACACACCCTCACTCACACACTCACTCACCCTCCAAAACACTCAGTGAGCGAGTGTGCGCATGGCACCACACACCCTCCAACACACTCACTCTGTGAGCGAGTGCATGTCAACACACTCACTCTGTGAGCGAGTGCATGTCAACACACTCACTCTGTGAGCGA